GNTTCATACTAATAAAGTATTTATAAAGTAACATACCTGTTGGTTTTATACGTGGAATCTATACCGACATACCAGTGATATGTCCGGAATAGATTGATCGACGCAGGATGGGCCATGAATATATGCGTCAACACTTTCGTGTTCGGATCGGATTCTACATAAACTGTATACTGGCTGCTCACGGCCAAATGCATAAGCTGAGTAGGAACGTCTCTACCGTCGGAACCCTCTCTCCGCAGCTTATCTCTAAAGTTATATACCTGTCACCGATTGGCGTTAATTATAATGATTATTATAATTTAAAACAAATTATTAACTATCACAATAGTAATAGTTACGAGCAAGATATATTACAAGATATAAATATATATACCTGGCGCACATGAACGTTGTCTCCCGGATTCTTTTCCTTCAGCGCGGCTATAATTTTTTTCGGGGCCACCTGAGCGTCCGTCATGTCACGAACAATTCTCTTAGATGAAGCGCTGAGACCGCTCAACTGGCTATGACCCTCAGGATACACAACAAATGCATGGTTATGGTAGCCTTTCTCTTCATTGCTACATCTACAGATCCTCCAGTATGGAAAGCCGGACACCTTTTTTACTTTGATCTCAAAATTGCAGCCGCACTTATTCGTTTTTGTCCTTCTAGAATTTCCGCCTGTGCCTCTGTACCGTTCGCCTCTATGGCACTTCAAAAGTCTAACCGTTTTCTTTTTGTGGCTCGAAATAATTAATAGAAAACCATTCAGCATTGCCTGGTGTCTTGCAGCTTCAATAGCCTCCTGAGCACTATTATAGAATGAAGATGTATCGAAACGCAGACTGTAATCAACACCATCTCCTCCAAAATCTTCCCATGACTCCTGCTATATAGTACAATATTTTTATTTTTATAACATGTTAAATTAAGATAATTAATTCTACGATGTAACATAATAATTTGTAACTCGTAACATGATATTATCTAACGTTCAATTAATATAATTTGTAACTCCTAACACGATCACGATAATATCTAACGTCCAATTTATATTATAATAAACAGTAACACAGTAACTTGTAACTCTTAACACGATACTATCTAACGTCAATTTATAACATAACTAAAACTAATATATAATGTAATAATTTCTAACTCGTAACACGATAATATCTAAACGTCCAATTTATATTATAATCAACATATATAGAAACATAATAATTTGTAACTCCTAACACGATAAACGTCCAATTTATATTATAATCAACATATAACATAATAATTTGTAACTCCTAACACGATAAACGTCCAATTTATATCATAATCAAGTCTAAAATGTAACATAATAATTTATAACATAATAATATAGTCCAATTTATAACATAATTATTTCGAATAAATAACATAATAATTTTATTTTTTTTTTTAAAAAAAAAACTGCCGACCGGCCGGCTGAACCGGACGGAGCCGGTTCCGACCGGCCGTCGTTTCCGGCCGGCTTTCTTGCCGTCCGGCCGGCCGGTTCGGACAGGGCCGGTCCGACCGGCCATGCTTTCCGGACGGTCTTTAAGCCGTCCGGACGCCGGTTCCGGACGGTCTTTAAGCCGTCCGGACGCCGGTTTCGGACGGGCTATAAGCTGTCCGGAACCGGCGGCCGGACACGTATTTTTTCGTACCTCCGAATTTGACGACATTTCACCGTACACTTTCCTCTGAGATGTTTAGAAAAAATAAGAAGGGCAAAATTGTCCAAGGGGGGCGGTGACTAGTAATATAGGGGGCGGTGAATAGTAACGCAAAAAAAAAAGAAGAAAAATGAAAGAAAGATATTTCCCTCATAATCACAGCCGTCGATTTTTATTCCTACGTCATACAGCACCTTCTCCCATCCGCATACGTACCTCGATTCTTTACGTTCCCGGTGCACAACAGGACAAAATTACAACCAATCAAAGGTCCACATACACTCTCTGTGGGACCCACAAAAAACCCAACTACCCAATCATATTGCAGAAAGCCCCCGTCCGTGGGCCCCGCCGGAGTAGCCTTATAAAGGCTTATCAAGCAACCGAGAACCCGCCTCCGCAGACCCACAATCGCCTCCGCCGCTGTTCCTCCCCTTCCCCTCGTCGGAGCCAGAAACTCAGAACCATGGCCCGAGCCTTACTGCTGCTCGCCGTTGGGGTCTTGATCGCCGGCGCACAGGCCGGATCGGAGTTCCTCGCCGACGAAAACCCGATCAGACAAGTCGTTGCCGACGGTCTGCACGAGCTCGAGAGCTCTATTCTACGGATCGTCGGAAGCTCGCGGCGCGCACTCTCCTTCGCTCGATTTGCTCACAGGTCCTTTATGTTCATTTGCCGATAAACATATGAGGTTTTGATCGGTTTCTGATTTTGGTCTATTGACCCGATTTTCTCTTGTTTAAGGTACGGGAAGAGGTATGAGAGTGCAGAGGAGGTGCATAAGAGATTCCAGATATTTACAGAGAATTTGAAGATGATCAAATCGCATAACAAGAAGGGTCTATCTTACACTATGGGAGTCAACTGTAATTTTCTTCTCATCTATAGCTATGCTTCAATGGTGTATGCATGAATCCATAGCTCTTCATTTCAGCTCACTTTATCTAGCTGATTTTAGCGACTCTTGCTGTTATTTCTTGCGTTCTTTGTGTTTTAACTGTTTTGTGGAGCTTAGTCATGGATTGCAATTCTTTAATAATCTGTATGCTGTGTTGATTGACTGTGTCAGGTTTCCAATTCAGAAAATCATTGGCTCTTATGAATTGAGTGTTTAATTGGTTTAGAAATTCCTTGCTTCATTCCTTTCTATCTTTCTTTTTAGTAGAAGCCTTAATAATACTTTGACGAATAGTATTTAGAATAATATCCTCATACGTTCCTGATTTTGAAAGAGGTTGTGACTTGTGAGTGAGTTTTCGGTGATATTTGTACTGGTTATGATTTTAGCTGGCTTGATTTGTTTGAAATTTTGAACCGATGGATGTAGCTAAGTCTCTTTACGAATAACAATGGCCAGGTACCGCACATGGTTCGAACAAATTTTCAGTATTTTATTTTTATATGTCATGAACTTATGCCATGTTTATTAGTACTAAATCGATATGTGCATTCCATGCTTTAGCATGTATATGCATTCAATAGTTAAGCAAGCTCACAGGCTAGACTAATTACTGTTTAGAATTGTCACTATCTATTTTCATTCCGTAACTAAATACTGAACTCGATTTAGTTAAATAAAATATAAACTTGTAATTACTCTTGCAATGTATTTATTTGCTTATTGTGTTGTATTAATTCAAATGAACAGCGTTTGCTGACATGACTTGGGATGAGTTTCGTAAGCATCGTTTGGGAGCAGCTCAAAACTGCTCTGCTACCACGAGGGGCAATCACAAGCTGACTGCTGACGAACTTCCAGAATCGGTACTTTCATATAACCTTGTTCTTACTTTAGTTGTTTATCGAGCTAAACATCTGATTCAACATTACCTGTTTCATGAAGTTAATAAATCTTCCAATCAGTAGCTCAAATGACATCTGTAAATAGTAGTTGTCAAGGTGTAGATGTTAATAAATCACATGGCAGCGCTTTATATTTTCTCTTATCAATCATAAGTGAGATGCTGAAATTGATACTAAGACTATCAAGATCTCTGAATCTTTCTTGTGATAGAACTAGATATGTAGTAAAACGATCGTATAATGAACTTAACTACACAAGTGTTCGTATCAGTATATTCAAAACAATAATTCTATTGCTTGTCAACTTTGAATGGATTGCAGAAAGACTGGAGAACAACTGGCATTGTTAGCGCCGTCAAAGATCAAGGTCACTGCGGATCTTGTTGGACATTCAGGTGAGTCCAGATTCGAACCTTATACTTAACCATTGATTGTAAGTTATTAATACGCACCAACTAAAACTGGATAATATTTGTATAATATATACTTTCAGCACGACTGGAGCTCTTGAGGCAGCATACTCACAAGCATTTGGTAAGGGTATCTCTCTATCCGAGCAGCAGCTCGTGGACTGTGCTGGGAATTTCAACAACTTCGGCTGCAATGGTGGACTTCCCTCTCAGGCCTTTGAATACATCAAGTATAATGGCGGGCTTGAGACCGAGGATGCGTACCCATATACTGCCAAGGATGGAACCTGCAAATTCTCGTCCGAAAATGTCGGGGTCCGGGTGCTCGACTCTGTAAATATCACCCTGGTATGATGCTTGACCTAGTAGTTGGTGCTTAATTTTCTTAATTTTCACCTTTTTAGTGGTAATGTCTCTTTGAGGAGCCGATAAAAAATTCGCGTAGTTGTTTCATGTTCATCTTATGTACTTGTAGTTAAGCTAAAAAGTTTTAGTGAAAATTGACATGACTCTGCATTTAACAATGTGATATGTATCTATGTTTGTGTGCGTGTGCGTGTGCATTTTCGTTTCTAAACTTGATTATGAAATCACAGGGCGCAGAAGATGAGCTGAAACATGCTGTGGCATTTTCTCGGCCTGTGAGTGTGGCTTTTGAGGTGGTTCATGGTTTTCGGTTGTACAAAGAAGGAGTTTACACTAGCACTACTTGTGGCAGCTCCCCTATGGTGAGTTATTTTTGTTCCTGAATAGGTGGGCAGAAAAATGAATGAATTGTAGAAAGATTGAATGAAATATACATTTGTGTATGTACATGTGTGTCTGTGTTTGTAAAAGATACAAGAGGGTAAAGGAATTGCACAATGTGGTTCTTACTGGTATTCAGTGTAACTCACTTCACTTTTATTTAGCGTTTCAAATAATAATAATCACAATTAGGCATCTTGAACTTACCTTTTCTTCATCATTGCTAGAGATAGATCATTAACAAATTGCACTTTTGCATGAATAACATAAAGTATGTAGTTATGTTACTACTCTAGGTGATAAAAGCAACGACGACTTTGAGATTTGAAAAGATTACCAGAGCTTTTACAGGTCAAGATAGCGACTACAAAGTCAATTTATTAACCACAGCAATTTTTAACAACAATTGCATCCTGAAATGGAAAGAGCAACGTTTTTGGCTTTTAGTAGGACCAAAAAAAAAAATGAAGAATCATAATTCTCTACAGTGATGAATCTCACATTTTAAGCAAAAATTTGCAGGATGTGAACCATGCTGTTCTTGCCGTTGGTTATGGGGTCGAAAACGGTATCCCATACTGGCTCATTAAGAACTCATGGGGAGCTGAATGGGGTGACAATGGCTACTTCAAAATGGAGATGGGCAAGAACATGTGTGGTAAGTTTGTTTTTTCCCCCTTTTTTGGTTCTTTGTAAACCCATTGTAAATGTCAAACTTAATTACACGATAGTTCCATTTTTGGATAGTTGATAGTTGATACGACCCATATATAGGATAATACACTTTTTCGAGTGAGTGCAAAACTCAAAGAAGAAAATGGGGTGGGGCTAGGGACTAGGGACTAGAGGGAAATTTGAAAACTTCATTTTCATTTATCATCATTAATTCATAATCCCCTCAAATACCAAAAGACTTCTATATTTTTATAGCCAAGATCCCAAAACCAACCTTATGTCTCACTGATACAGAAATTTGATTGTCATGCCAACCAATATTTTTCCTTCAATCAAAGTTCAACGGAGCCCTTAACTCCTTGGCCCGGCCCAACACAATGGGCCTTCTTGATTACTCCTTGGCCCGACCCAACACTATGGGCTTTCTTGATTACTCCTTGGCCCGACCCAACTCAATGAGCTCTAATACCAATATTTATGCAATCACATATGCTGCTATGCACCGTTTTTAGTACGTCCTGTTACATCAGTTGATAGACATATTAACTCTTGTCTACCGTGGACAGAAGAGTGAGACTCGTATTCAATATAACTAAATAGTTTTATCTTTTATAAAAAAAATCTTGTGTGAGGCGGCCTAACCATTAGATAAGTCGACTTGTCATACTCTATGAATAACAATGCATATTTATATTACCAAATGTCGTACTTTGTTATACTTCTATTTATAATTTTTTTAATATTTGACATTTTTATAATGAAATTATGTATTTTTGTGAAAATAGTATGTCGGGCTAATGGTTAGCATACAGTTTTATTTAACCGCTAAAAAAGCAGAGCTCTTATTGACCAATTTTTTTCTGCAGGCGTTGCCACGTGTGCTTCCTACCCAGTCGTAGCTTAATTACTGCAAAGGAGGCTTGGATTTGGGAAGCCATTTTGCTTTTGTTAAATGGATAACAATATCCTGTCAAGAGTTGAGCTTTCAAAAAAGTCGTGTGGTTGTACAAAATAAGATCCAAGAAAATATGGGCACTATTCCTATGGCGTCTTCTAAATTATTATGAACACCTGATGATTAATTTGTACAATTCTGTAAGAAATATTATAATTTGTTTGTTTACTATTGGTTTAAGGTAGCTTTCAGGGATAAATTCGACCAGGCCCTTATGGTATAAAAATCAAGATCGTGTGGTAAAAAAATCTACAAGGCACCTATAGGTATAATCACCGGTTTACAAACACAAGTGTGTGATTATGGGATAAAAGACATGAATAACTAACTATTTCATATAAAAAAAAAATGGTTTGGGAGAATTCTAAGATTACCAGGATCATTCAAAACAATATGAGAAGTTACAAATAACCAATTCAACAATTAAAACAAAAAAAAAAAA